AGTGCCCCATGAACAAGCGGGTTGTGCGCATATCATGCACACCCGTGTTGGCCTCTCCCATGTGCTCCCTGGTGCTGTGCAGCTGCAGCCACGCAGCAGCATCACAGTTCCAGGCCATCCCCTGGCCTCTGTCCCCAGGAGGAGCAGCGGGAGGAGGTGAGGGACTGGGTGCTCACCATGTCCATGGACCAGCGGCTGGAGCAAGTGCTGCCCCAGGATGAGCGCGACACCTACGAGGCCTCTCTGGTGGCAGCAGGGACCGGGGTGCACTCCCTGCCCTGCGTGCTTACAGGTAAGCTCCAGGCCAGCTCAGTGGGACAAGAGATGACACAGAGCCATGTGGAGAGTGGGAACATGCTGCAGGGTTAACACTGGGAGGAGGTCGGGGCAGTGCTGTAAGAGGAGTGGAGAGACTGGAGGAGATAGGAATCTTTTTCAGTGTGAAGGTGAGTGAGCACTGGAACAGGTTGCACCTAAGTTGTGGGATCTCCATCCTTAGCGACAGCCAGAAGGTGTGTAGACACAGCCCCAGGCTGGGATGGCACTGCCTGAGGAGGGAGTTGAACCATACAGACCCCAGAGSCACTCTGTGACTTCGGTGATGGTTTAGGCTGGCCCAGCTCTGCCTGGGGCTCCAGGCTGGCCATCGCAGACAGCTGTGAATGGGCAGCACCTGGCCCTGCTCTGCCCTGCTCTACAAAAGCTGTCCCTTCTGGCAAGTTCAGTCCTTCTCACGCACACTTCAGACAGTATGGGACTGCAGTGCAGGACTTAAAAAGGTTAAGAGAAGGGGGACCAGGGGTGGGTCACCAGGAACAGGGCTCTGGCTCCGGAAGTCAAAAGCCGGGTGCCATCACTGGACCTACTCACTTAGGTATTGTTGCCTGAGTTCAGCCCTTGTCTTCACTTGATCCCACCACTCTGGGGACCCCTACTTCATTTTGGTCTYCTAGAGACCAAGGCAGCATTATTCCCACCAACACAGTGTGTTGTGGGGCCAGCCCCAGGCACAGCACAGGGTAGGACTGGGAGGAGGTCTGGGCAGAGCTGTACGAGGAGTGGAGAGACTCTGTGGCTTGTGGGGATGCACCAAGGGGGSCCCATTGTGGGGTTCAGCTTGTACTGAATTGGGTCACTTTATGCCTGCAGGATACCCTGTGCTAAGAAACAAGATAGAGCTGAGGCCAGGCCGAGAAGTGAAGAAGGATGTGTGGTACAAGTTCATGATGGCTGTCAAGGTAAGCCAGAACCCTACAGACAGGGAGACAAGGCTGCAGGTGGGGTTCAGCCCCTTGTGCTAACAATACAGCATTGTCTGGGTGAAGAATGCCCACTGTCCCACGGCAGTTTATTGAACTCTCCTGACAGTGCTGCTGAGTGATTTAACAGACCCAGTCCTGCCAGCCCTCAGGTGCTTTTGGGCAGAGGGGACAGGGGTGCCCCTTTCCAGTGCCAAGGAATCTCTCATTCTGCAGACATCCCACAGCCCTGCAGGCCAGGACGTGATCGAGTTCCTCCAACGGTGGTGTGGGGGACTCCCAAGCACCAGCTTCTCATTCCAGTGAGCAGGACTGTGGCAGCTTTCAGGTCTGTTCTTTAGCACCTTCCACACTCAATAAACATGTTATCTCAGTCCTGCAGTGCTCCTGTTTTCCAAGGGAAGCTGAGCCCAGAACATCTGCAGCTGTTGGGCACAGGGCTGTAAACCCTGTACGTGTCTCAACTTCCACATCCATGGGTGACTGTCACACTGGGAGCACAGCTCTGTCAACATCCTTGTGCCTGGGGAGTGGCAGGCATGGAGAGGGACTCACAGAGCAGCTGCACTGTCCTTCCCTTGGCGGTCCCAGCTCCCAGCCAGCACTCACCTGGCAGAGCCACTCAAAGTAGCCAGTGTGAAAGGGAAAAGTTTATTTATTCAAAAAAAAAACTAGAGGTTCACACCACAGGGATTCTTCACCTTCTGTTCCCTGAAATGCTGGAGCACAGGCACAGCCAGCTGACATGCCTGCAATGCCCCCAGCACCTCTGCCCACCCCCATGACTGGACAGAAACCAGCAGAGCCTTCAGCAGGAAGGGCCTGGAGAGGAGGGGAGAGGATCTGGGGCCCATGGCACCTGCTGGCTTGCAGGGTCTGTCCCAGGTGGGGGTGGTGGAGCTGGGAGCCCCCACACCTGCAGCCCACCTTAGGCACACCAACATTGCAGTAGGGGTGACACCTCCTTGCTGGATCACAGCACTCCCACAGCACCATCTAGGAGTGAAGGAGCACGTGTGAGTGCCAGGCTGTGCTGCAGGGCCTAGCATCACACTGGCCATGTTCTTTGGAAGGGGTGTTTTGGGGGACTGGTGTGGGCATGGGCCCATTTCCATGGCAGAGCCTGCCCCTCCCTGTCCCAAGCATGGCCATGTGGTGCACTCACCTCTCCAGTTATGCGTGAAACTCAGCAAGTCCTGTCAGGAGCTGCTGCCTCTCACGGGGTGGCTTCTCCATCGTTGTACCTGGCCTGGCCAGCTAGAGAGAAAAAAAAAAAAGGACAAAAAGACGTGGAGCGTGGCAAAAGTATGTTATGGGCAGTGTTCTCACAAGAAAAGAACAGGTCTGGCTACCAGGGGGATGAACAAGAAGGTCCCTCTGCAAATTCCCRTGGAAGGATGCCGGTCTGGCATCCAGGCTGGCTCTAGCTCAGCATACCTCCCCTCCCACTGCCACACAGCCTGCTTGTTCCCAGCAGAATCCAGCACCTTCCAAATGCAGCACAAAGGCAGCAATCATGAGGGAGATACAGGGAGATCCCAGCGGCTCAAATGGCATACCTGCTCTTTGCCATAGCTGTGTGCACAGGGCCCGATGCCCTGGAAGACCAGAGCCACCAAACAGCACCTGCCYGAGAGCACAGCTTCTGCGGCTGCCAGCAGCAAGGAGGGGAACCAGAGAGCCAGAGCTGTGTCCTGTAGGGCAGGTGGGCAGAGGAACGTGGGCACTGCATCAGCTGTCTGAACACACTCAGGAGACACTGTACAGTGAGCAGGGGAAAAGAAGCGGGGAGGGAGAGAGARGGGGAGCAGGAGGAAAAGGCAGAGTGAGTGCACAACACAAAGAGAGGGAGAAAGAAGGAGAAGAAACACAAGAGGAAGCAGAGAAAGAGGGTCGTGGGAGGAATGGGGGTGTGTGGTGACCCTGAAGACTCACATAGATGCGTGTGGTGTTAAAGGGACAGTCGTTAGTGGCAATGGCTGCACGGGCATCCACAGGCAGCGCAGAGCTGTTGCAGCCCCTGACCAGGTGTGTGCCGCGGCTGTGCACCGTGAGGGCCACGGCCAGTGCCAGCCCCACGCTGCACGCAGTGGACAGGAGGCAGTTCAGCAGGGATACGCTCAGCAGGGTCCAGTGCTGCAGGCAGCAAGAATACGAGTGGGACCGGAACGAGCTCGGCCAAACGCTCGGGCCGGGCCCCTACGTCTCTGAAGAGCTGCTGGAGGGAGCACACACCATCTCTTGCTTCTTCCAGGATGGCTCAGCCTTGCTCTCAGGTGAGACTCTCGAACCTTTTGACATCCTTCACCCACAGTGCGCTCGGCACCGCTGGGCGTCCCTTCCCTCGGGCTCCGTGGAGAGACCCACCCAGGCGCAACAGGCTGGGCCGAATGCTGGGATCCCCGGCCGCAGCCCAGCCTAGCCCAGCCCAGCCCGGCGCCCCTCGCCGTGTCCGCCCACCCTGCGAGCCCCCGACTCGGCTGCAGCTTCGCCCCCCGAAGCGCTTCTGCCCGCGGACGGTGCCCCCGCCGCTCCCACCGTCCCGGGGCGGCTCTCACCCTGCCGGGGCCGCTCCCACCGTCCCGGGGCGGCTCTCACCCTGCCGGGGCCGCTCCCACCCTCCCGGGGCCGCTCCCACCCTGCCGGGGCCGCTCCCCCCCTGCCGGGGCCGCCGGCACACAGAGACCGCAGCGCTGCAGCTCCGCCGTGGCGGAAGGAGCCCGCGGGGTCAAGGTCCAGGGGAGCGGCTGCCGCCGAGGCAGAGCCACGCCACGGTCCCCTGCCCGCTCGGCCCCGCACTCACCAGAGCCGCTCGGGTCAGGTTGTGCGACACCAGGATGGCGACGATGCCCGCGGCGATGCTCTGTGGGGAGAGCTGCGCTCAGCAGGGCCCGGGCGGGGCAGGACCCGCCGCCTCCCGCCCGTGCTCACCAGCAGCCCCGAGCACACCGACACCACGTTGGCCGCCGCGTACTCGGGGGTGACGGCGCGACGGGCGCCGGCCACGTGGCGCAGGACGGAGCCGTGYACGATGGCGCCCAGCACGAGGCTGCCGTGGCCCAGCACGATCAGCCCCAGCCCCGAGCGCATCAGCCGCCGCGGCTCCGCCAGCGCTCCGGGCCGCCGCCGCCCCCAGGCCATGGCCGCCGCCGCCACCGCCCCRCCCCGGGGCACGGATGGGCGGCCCCAGCCCGGCCCGCCCGGAAAGAGGCGGCACTCGCGTATTTACAAAACAGTTTATTAAAAATAGGAAATGATAGAAATGAGAGGCAGGAACCGCGGTTCGGCCCCGCTGCGCGCCGGGAAGGGTGCGGGCCCCGAGGCCGCTGCGGGAAGGGCGGGAGGGCTGCAGGGGCCGCGGGGCCGCAGCCCGGGACCGGCACTCGCCGCGGCCCCGGGCGGGTGCGAACCAGTAAACAAAGTGCAGCCGGGGCGGGAGCCAAGCGCCGGGGAGCGGGGAGGGGGGACGAGCCCGGCCACCCCTGGGCCCACGGTCCGGGAACGGGGGGAGTGACGGAGGGGTGCAGGGCTTAGGGGTGAGCCCCTGCTTACCTTTAAATTAACAAAAAAAAAAAAAAAAAAAAAAAANAAAAAAAAAAAAAAAAAAAGAAATAAAAAGAAAAAAAAGGAAAGGAAAAAAAAACCCCATTTCTGTGCTGTGCAAAAGACACTTTGTACAATTCAAACAGAACAAACTCCATGCACATGAGTGGGGTTGCAGAACACCCCAAGCCAGGCCTCAGCACTGCAGCACAACCTGGCAAATCCCAACAAAAACAGGGCTGGAAATAATACTGATGCGCAAAGTCCCCTTTACAAGGCGGGCAGGGAGGACTGTCGCTGAGCCCAGCCACCGCACATGCAGGATGAGCTTCCAAGCACTGCAGCTGGGGTCTTGCGGATGCCCGACGGTGGTGGGCAGACACAGACGGGTCGCAGGCAGCGAGGCCACGCTGGCTGCCCGGGAGCCATGGGGCTAAGATGACACAGTCACTGCCGTCAGGGCTCCATTCCGAGTGTAGTAGAACTTGCTAAACGCCTCTTCAAGTAAACAGGTGAGTCTGCTCTGGTCAGCCTGGGGAGAACAAGGACAGTGAGGGGTAAAGCCCCATCCACTCGAAGGAGAGCATGGCTGGAGACCCCCAGGGCAGGGACATGGCTTGTACCTCCTGCCTCTGCCATCCCCCCCMCCCCCCTGCAAAAGGCTGATCTGGCATAAACCATTGATCTCCGAGAAAGGGACACAGGTCTATAGCCCTACCCGAGCCACTGCTTACCTCGCTGATGAATCCAAGCTGCACCAGTTCAGCTGCCAGCTCCTGGATGTTGTCATCTGCAACACAAGGAAGGGTGTCAGTCCCTGGTCCAAGCATGCTGCTGGCCCCAGTGCAGCTCAGCATGGCCAGAAGGGTACAGAGCTAAAGAGGATACTTACTGGGCTGCAGGTCACAGCTCAAGTGTCGATTCAACTTGTCTTCCAGTTTTAGCAGCAGTGTCAGCTGCAGGACAAAGAAATTCTCATGAGGGACTGGAGTCCTGCAGGGTGCCATGGCAAGCCCAAGGCAACCCCAGAAATTGCCCTGGGTATGAGAACCACCCCTCCAGAGCCCCGCAGGGGTCTAACAGAACACAGCCAGTTCTATCCTGAGCTGCAGCTGGCAGCACCATCCTGCACTGGAACACTGGACCTGGGGGTGGGCCAAGGTGCCAGGTCATGGCAGGCACAGGCCTGGATCAGGCTCTGGGTCCCGACAGTGGCAGCTGTGCCAGTGCAGGGTTACCCGAGGCAGCAGCAGCACATCAGAGCCACCAGCCCTCCACCGCTGCCCCAGCCTCCCCCAGCTCAGCCAGATGTGCAAACATACGTGGTGCTTCACGCCCTCCTCCACGGACTCAATGTTGCACTGCATCAGCACCACCTGGAACAGATCACAGACCCCATGAGCCGCTGCCCCACATTCCTGGCTGCGATGGGAGAGGGAGACCAAGCCCCTGGCGCTCACCTTGCGSGTCTCCACCTCAGCAGGCTCCGGAGTTGGGGTTTTCACTGATGGGGGAGCAATGGGAGATTTCACCACGACCTGCTGGGGCTGCTGGGGTCGTGGCATCCCAAAAGCTGTGAGAGGATAGATTCCATTCCTACAAGGAAGGAGCAGCACCTGAGTTACACCTCTCAGAAATTTTTCCAGTCTCACACACAAAGGTGTCTTTTAAAAAATGCCTCTTACCTCACATCCTCCAGGAACTTGTCCAGCTCCAGTGCTGGAGATTGTGAGAAGCTGGAAAACAAAACATCCCGAGATGAGAAATCATCTCACAGTATCATCCACTTGGATCTCTCAGGGTGCAGTTTTAAATTCCCATGTCCTGTACGCATGGGCAGGATGGGCATGGACAGAAGCAGCCACAGGTGAGACAAGCTCCAATCTTCCCTTAAGGACACAACTGTCCCCAGGAGCTAAGGATGAGGCAGCAGTTACAGCAGAGCCAGTGTCACATTCCTCAGAACTGTCCAGTGCAGAGTTACTTGGAGGATGGCCCAGTGACACTGTTCCTGGCAAGGTGCTTCACAGACACCTGCCAYACCAGGTCCCTGGTTGCAACAAACACATGTCTTAAGGCTGCTCAGAAGGATTCCAGAGATGAGGAAAGAACTGCAAAGCTGCTGGAGGCCTGACAGGATATCCACAAGTGCTTTGCGGTCCCACAAGTCTGGTGTGGATTCCATATCTGTCTCAGCTTCCAGAACACTCTCCAGCCCTTCTCATACCCCCAGCAGCTGGGACATCCTATCCTCTAACACAGAATTAGTTTTCAACAAAAATTTACAATTTTTTTCTGGCAGCTTGGCATGCATGGCAGTCTGATGAACCTCCAGAAATGAGGCTCTCTAACATTTCAAGTCATTGCTTCTTTCTTTTCCTTTTCCAGCACCTCTGAGATATGGCACTACCAAAAAGCGAGTTCCAGGTTGGCACCCACAAACAGCCAAGCCCGCRGAGACTGACATCCTATGTATGTAAAGGATCTCTCTTGCACAGCTTTGGCTATTCATTTGTTGTCCTCCATTTTGAACCTACATCAAAAACATTTCATACCACTATTTCCTACCACTATGACAACTGGAACATCAGGTTTTAGAAGGATCTCTAGAGCTCTGAGAGCTGCTCCAATGGACGAAGCTGTTCTTCCTTGTTACCCTGGTTACTCTTGTTCAGCAGCCTGAGCATCCCACAACTCTGGGCTCTGCTGGTAGCACCCTAGGCTTCTCTGGAGAAACAGTATTCACATCTTAGCTGAAAGACTAATCCCTCCACTAGCCAAGGCCTTGTTATCAAATATGTACATCACTTTTTGGCACTCTGCTTGCTCCACACATATTGAAGTCACTCCCTTAGTGAGCCACCAATACAGTGTAAGCAGTGCTGTGTGTCACTGACAGCTGCCCCAAGTGCCTTTCCTTGTGCATAGTGTGGAATAAGCTGCTCCATGAGGCAAACACTGAGGAACCCTTTCTCTGAAGTGCTGAATTCCATCTGGCTAGGCTGTGAYTGGTCAGAGCACCTCCCCAGACTGTACATCCATGTTTTGCTGGGGACTGCTCAAACTACAGTGTGTTCATTTCCTATCCATCCATCTGGGGAACAATTCACATCTCAGCTGCACACAATCTGCTCCTAGGACACGGGTGCAAGGTGTCCTTCCACCCAATAATCACCCTTCCTGAAGTGTGTGCCCAGACAGTGACTGCTCCTTCACCTCCAGCTCCACCAGCTCCCACTGGCTCCCAGTCAGTGATGAAACACCAACACTGAGGTGATGGGCAGAGTCTCAGCCCATGGTGCACACTCCAGGGCCCCAGCACTGCTCCCAYGAGCACACCACGGGGACTCACATCATCTTGACTCCTTCCCTGTCCTCGTGATTGATCTCTGCCAATACTGCGTTCATGTCAAGGTTTTTGGTCATTTCTTCTAAAGCATTTTCAGGAATCATATCTATTTAAAAAAAAAAAAAAAAAAAAAAAAGAAGTTAGAATAACTGCAGTTCCTCTCCAGCTTCAGAAAAGCACTGGAACGTGCAGAGGCCTCATGCTGTCTGATGCTCTTGAAGCAGGCTGGGCACCACGGCCCTCCAGGCCCCATGGCAACTGCAGCCACATCTGACAGCCAGGTACCTCTAGAGCAGCAGGGCCCAGTTCCAGGGTGTCAGCTCACTGGGTGAGCACTGACAGCTCAGCAAAGCTCTGCAGAGCACAGCCAGTGTGGGGAGGTGGCTCCCGGGGCTCTGTACTCACGTTGGTGCCCAACGATGCAGTGAGCAGCCAACAGCTTCAGCGATGGCACCTCAAACAGCGCCTGGTGGAAGAGGAGCTCCCGGGCCGTGGGGCGCCTGCCAGGGTCCTGTTCTAGACACTTCTGAATGAACTCCTAAAGACAAAACCTGCGTGAGACAACAAGAAATGCCACCACAGCAATTCAGGGCGCCAAGCACCCAGCTCACCCGCTGCAGGGGGTCCTCSAGCAGCTGGATGGCACTGTTGATGGCTTCCTGCGGCACATACGATGACTCCCCATTCCCCTGAATCTCCAGCACTGCCATCTGCAAAAGAGAGCAGAGCATCAGATTCCACTGGCAATGGCAGACTGCATGGGAGATAGGCTCAAGGAGACCACTGCCAAGCATGAGATCATCACAGTCAAGCTGTTTAGGGGTACTTAAGGTCGCAGTTTGGAGAGACAGAGAATGACTGCCTCATTACGACAGCTTGCTCCTAGTACCCCAAAAGACTGCCAAGGAACCCTGGGAACTTTGCCAGCAACAACCTGGACAGTTAAGTGTCTCCATTCTGAACCTCATGACCCATTGGCCTGTCATTCTGTTTGATAATTCCATAATGAATCGGTGACTGGACCATTGCCAGAATCTGACAGTGTCCCTTCTGGCTGTGTGAATAGCGCTCCATCACAGAACAAGAGCAAGCACACAACACATCAAGAACAGGCTACAGACACTAATTCCCAGACAGGAAAGGCTGGAAAATGAATGCAGAGAATGTCTTTGCATTCATCTTAAGTTCTGTTTCCTGTAAGTTGCATCTTTCCACAGTTCTCTTCCTGCTTCACTTACAGAATGTGCAGCACAGGTTGAGGGTACCTTGCGTTACCTCTTTCTGGCAATTCTTCTCA